GCAATCCTCCTCTACTACAACTAGATTTCATACTGGTGTACAGACCTCCTAACTCTACTAGAAGCGAAGATACTTGTTTACTTGAACTATTGAATGGGTTATGTTCTATTCCTGCACATTTGGTTCTACTTGGTGACTTCAATCTCAGTGTTGATTGGTGCACTGCAAAAACAAATAATCCCACTGCCGGCAGATTTTTGGAGTTGTTCCAAAACTGCAACCTGAATCAATTTGTTACTAAACCCACCAGAGGTGATGCTATACTCGACTTAATTCTAACATCTTTCCACACTGACTGTCAGGTATCCTATTTACCTCATTTTCACACATCCGATCACAAAATGTTGTATTTTGACATTAACATCCATTACGATACCCCATCTCCTTTACCCATGCCTGACTACTCCAAAGCCGACTATAATGGGCTGAACTTATACTTAAACTCTATCAACTGGTGGGACGTGTTTCAAAACTATACCTCCATTGATGATGTTTACAAGAAATTTTGCTCAATAGTGTATACCGGTTTCAGCAAATTTGTACCATTCACTGTTGCTAAGACTGGGCAAATACATTATCCTAAGCATATACGTAACCTTCTCGAACAAAAGGAACGTTTACAAAATAACACTGACCACCCCTTGTATAAAAAGGTTTGCTCAGATATCAATTTTCACGTCAAACGATTCCATGCCAATTATGAAGCACGCTTGTCAAAAAGATCCCATGGGAAACCTTTGTTTGGTTACATTAGATCCAAGATGAAAGGCCATGTCAAACTAACTACATTGAAAGACTCACTTGGAAATATTTTTGAGGATGATGCTAATAAAGCGAACGCGCTAGGTAAATTTTTCTCAAGCGTTTACATTGATCACAAAGATTTCACGTGTCCTGATCCCAGTGATGACGTTAAACAATTGTTAGTCAATATCAGTGTCTATCCAGATGATGTTCTGAAATACTTAATGAGACTCAAACCCTCTACATCTGCCACGATTGATGGAATTCCTCAGGTATTCTACAAAAAATGCGCGAAAGCCCTTTTTAAACCTCTGTCAATGATTTTCAATATATCCTTGCTGCAGGAATCTGTTCCATCATTATGGAAAGAAGCACTTGTCACTGCCATTCCTAAAGTTTCAAATACTTCTCTCATATCAGACTTTAGGCCCATTAGTATTATTCCGACACCAATAAAAGTTTTAGAAAAAATCATACGTGACAAGCTTGTTTCCTGGTTAATTAAACAAAACCTAATTCCATCAGAACATCACGGATTCACACCTAGAGCTTCTACTACAACCCAACTTCTTGATTGCACGTTTGATTGGTATTCGGCTTTGAACAACAATTATTCGATTGATGTTGTTTACTTTGATCTGTCAAAAGCTTTTGACAAAGTAAATCATGCCAAACTCATATACAAACTCAAAAGAATTGGTATCAATGGATGTTTATTGAGCTGGCTAACATCATACCTTTCAAATCGTCACATGTATGTAAAAATAGGTAATACTTTCTCAAAGCGTTATTCTTGTCCTAGCGGAGTCCCCCAAGGTGGAGTACTTTCACCCATTCTTTTTCTTATCTACTGTTTGGATCTTCCAACTACATTGAAAACCCACAATTCCATCAAGGTGCAAATATATGCTGATGATATTAAAATCTATGGCGTGTATAATAATAACGATCAAAATGAGGTTTCTGAAGCCTTGAACCGCTCAATAGAAAGGATGATGGAATGGTCCATGACTTGGGACTTACCTGTAAATTTGAGCAAATCTTTTGTATTTCACTTCGCCCAATCATTGGCCTACAGATCCACGTACACAGTCTGTCCTTGGAAAAACCGAATATTCAAAGAGGTGTTACTTACGCTTCTGATCTCGAGTTTTCCGAACACATTGACGCTGCTGTTCGTAAAGCACTTGGAACAGTTTTCTTCTTCTTCCGAAACATTCACAGCAGTGACAAAAATATTTTCTTAAGACTTTATAAAATGTATGTAATCCCCCAATTAGAGTATTGTTGTCAGTTATGGAGCCCCTATACCAAAAAACACAAAACAAAAGCAGAATACAAAACATATCCCTTTTCCACAAGATTTTCAATGTACTAGGTGTATCCAGATCCTAATTATCCCCGTACGTTACCTAACTACAGGACAAGACTTGAATTATTCGGACTGAAAACTCTTCTATACCGTAGAGTTATGCATGTCATATTTTGCTTTAAGATACTGCGTATGGAAATCAAACTCAAAGCTAGTAAATATTGGGTTTTCAGACCTAGTCATGGGCGTTTATCCAGTTTTATATTAGACTATGCCCCAATAAAAAGACCTTTTTGCTCAAAAATTCACAACTCATTTTTCTATCGTGGTGCCCGATGGATCCAAATGTTGCCCACCGATATACTTTGCTCTCCAAACTCAAACATTTTCCGAATGAAATTGAAAAAGATCAACCTATTGTCAACACTAAACATTGAAGATTTAGGTTAGTCTCTTTCTATTTCTGCAATTTTTAACCCATGGATCTTTGTGAAGAAGCGAACTGCTACCAGCCAGCATGCGATAATTTCGACAACTTCGGAAAGTACTAAGAAGAAACTGACGTCTCGTGTTATTGCCTTCCTGATATAACTTCAAAAAAGTGTAAAACTGCATTCTACTATCTGTTCACTGTAATACATATTATCGATTATGAATTAGCCGTGACAAAAGCGATTGCAGTTTCTCATAACTTCATATCAAACTGACACCACCAATGGATGATAATAATGAAATATCTAAAGGGTTGTGTCATACACTAGCTGTTGATCCAACTTGATTAAAATTTACCGAATTCATTTAAAGCCTATTAGCCAATCCCAAAATGAGCCCAAGTTATGGCATCGCATGGTTAGCTATCCTCACAAGCGCCCCCGAGCCAGCTCCTAGGGTTCGTATTTAGATCAAAGAGGTGTTTCTGCACCCGCCCTTGTAGGGCTGCGGCTGCGCAGTAGTTATCTTGAGGCACTAACCTTATGGCTCATGGCAAAGCTCTTTGTTACTTCCATGTCTGTACATAAATCCAACTGATCAACCTAGTGTATGACCCAGAGTTCAAACAATACTCAAGGGATCTTTTGAACATGCCCCTCTCTCGTTTTTGTCTCTCACAAATTGGTTAAGTCAGTCGTTAACATATCATTAATTGCTGTAACACAACTGAGGACGACTGCTGCCCTTTTCCTTATACCTTATAAGCGCGTCACTGGACGTATGAAAATAAACTAAATAAATAAAACAGTTCAAGCCGAATATCAAGAAAAACTCTAAAAACTTGTGTCAAAGGTACTCACCCCTGGTTGCTTGGTCATGTTTTCCTCATCAGTTTGGCACATGAAGCGGCTTTCGCCAAAATCGGCGACGACAGCTCGACCATCGAGGATGGAATGAGAATATTGTGACTGTTCAGATCCCTTGAATAGCTCATTACAAAAGCGCATGTCTCGCAAGAATGCTTAGTTGTGGGTGATATGCAACGTCCCAGGTGGATACCGTACCCGAACCTATCGTTTTACGGACAGTTGTGCTACCTATTACATCACCAAGGCGCCGGGATCGAAATGGTGTGTTACTTTGTTCGAAAAACAGACAAGAAGTGCCGTGAGCAACATTAGTGGGGAGAAAACCAAAACCATAGAAACACCATAGAGAACACAGAAATTTCCTTGTGAGGCCGGCCGTGGTATTACGGAGAGACATTGCGTTGAGGGGAGAGACAAACGCGAGAGAGCGTGTCGTACGAGAGAGCACAGACGACAACGTGTGTCTGGATCGATAAGAACGGAGGCGGTTGCAGCGGTCAAGCGAACGCATTAGCTACGTTTTCGCATTTACCTCCCGTCGTTATCACCACCTATTAATCAAGGGTTCTACTACCTCGCTCGAAAGGAGAATTTCCTCCTGAATCAAATCACTTCCCATGCCTTTAACCCAGCATGCAGCGTTCGCAACCAGAACCGCGATGTTAAGTTAGCAAACACAGCAGTTAGCAAACAAAAAACGACAAAAGCGAATCCCTTACAATATTCTTCATCATGAGCCTGCATGTGCACCTTACCATCGCATTGTAGGCAATCCTCCAGTAGTTTTGCCTTTATCGCCCAAATTTTTCGGTCAGGACCCAAAGTTGTGGAATCCGCTAACTCAGGACTTTTTCATCAAAGTCGATCCTACTCCCATTTGTTCGCAGGTCAAGTCCCCTGCACTTCACTACACTCACCTATGAATCACAGGCTTCGCCGCGCTTTCGTGAAGGTAACGCATGCCTTGCGCTACGTCAAATGAAATTCGTAGGCGAAGCGGAGATTCCAAGACACTGAAAAAAATTTGGAACTAAGATGG